GCACAGAAAGGAATGCTATTTCCTTTCAATCATTGGTTTCTCAACCAAATGGCTGTCCCAGCTATGTGATGATCAAGTGGTAATCACACATTGTAGTGCAAACACTGTACCTTATTATACCATCTGATTACCACTTCCTTTCAGTCATTGATCTTTCAACCACATGATCTTCTAGCTACTTGGTGAGTGGGTTTAATCTCTCTGATATTAATAGTGAGTCCATTGGAAGTGATTCAACAGACTTCAGAGTTATTTTCTTACCCCTAGTTCTGTCACTTCCTCATTAGGTTCATCCAAAATAAACAAGTTCTCTCAGCTTCCTCCTCCTCCTCGTCTGGGTCAGAGTCGAATAAGGAAGTTCTCTTATCATCCTCTGACTCGTCGGCCTCTTCCTCTGATAGCTGGTCAACCCATTGCACAAGAGGTTTGTCAATAATGTAGGAATGCAGATGGTCAACTTGTACAATGCGTTTTTGCACATGCTTTGCTGTATTTCGTACATCAATTGACTGATTCATAGGAACACAAGAGGAGATCCCAACCAGCTGGCCCCAAGTCGCTTTCATGCTGCAGGCACATACAAAAGCTACACACAGTCTCTACACTTGTACATCCGTTCCTTCGTTATCTTGTCATAAAAACTCTTTAACATATAGCAACGGTTCTTAGATGTTGATGTGCAAACCACTAGACATATTCTTCTTGGTATTATGGAACATCTGGTCCAAGGTAAGACTATACATCACATATACAGGAAGCAAGACTTCGCGCCCAAACAGGAGCATGTTTGAAGAACAATCTGTGGATCTCTGCTCACTTATGAGATATGCCATTATGGCATACAGTATTCACATCAGTTGGTTTGGTCAGGATTAACAAATATGGTAAGCATATACTTGACATTTAAATTAACTACTCTACTAAATCATCAGATAAGGAAAAGTGCATGTCTTCACCACACTCAACAGATTACACAACTCAAAGAACAGCTAAAGTTAACTCCCTGATCCACGTGGACTTCTTTTGTTGCTCTGAACTTGGCTTTCCAGTGCTCCACCAATACATCAGTCACCAAATGTACTAATGTTTCAACCAATTGAGACATGTTTTAATCTAATTCTCGCCACAATTTTTTTAAGCTTAAGAATCATATTCCAACTTTAATGTCATCAAAGTTAGTTTATAAATTACATTTATCTGCTGTCAGCGAGGTTATATAGGGCCCACTAAAAGAAAATTGTTAACTGCTATAAAAGAAAATGAGAATGTCAGAATCTCTACTAAATCTAGTGTACTTGAACATGCCCTAGATGAATGTGTGATTGCAATGCAATGGTCCATTCTAAACAGTTTAAGAAATTAGCAAAGTCCAATAAGGAAAAGAAAAGACACATTTAAAGAAAGATTGCTCATTTAGAGACTGAGGTCAGAGATTAACCATGTAGAACTGGCCATTAAATACGGAAATGAAGTTGTTTCAAGAGTAGAATTAAATAGTTAGAGAATGAACCAGTCAGTGTATAAGCTATTGCGTAAATCGGATGTTGAGTTATTTCCACCAGATAATTAAAATCAACAACAACAACAAAAATCCGACAGTGAGAGAATTACGCTACTACACTATTAAACTACTGCATCCTTTTGATGAGGCCGAATTAATTTGTTCTCTGAGTAATTACACTGAACTGAATGTAAGAGAGTCGGTGAAAATAATTAAACACAAAGATTTTTCCTTAAGTAAAATCGAAAGTCCAGGAATTTCAGCCCTTCAGTCATACTTTGATTAACGTTGCATAAACACACACACACACACACATATATATATATATATATATTGTTACGTCTCCGTTTGTTAATTGATTTTGCCGTAACTTCGTTCCGACGAAACTTTAACGACACAAGTCTTTACTTAATAAAACTGGTTTATTTATTCCGAATATACCTTTACGATACACTTAATTTCAATATTCGCGCTAAAACAAACACTATAACGAACGAACGTTAACTTCAACAATACCCTGTGACTGCAGTTCAATTACTCACTATCTACTCACACGCATTACATCATCGCGTCACGTTGTCACCCTCTTATATATACCAGACTACCCTATCTAGTAAATGCTAGGGCATTCGTGAAGGAACAAGATAGTTCTAGAAACTAGAGGGCGTGAGAATAGTCACGTGATCTCGATGACGCAACCATATTAATATGTGTTTCTATGATTTTATATTTAATTTCAATATTTTGAATATATATATATATATATAGATGTATACATGTATCTATTGGTTGTGTTTCATTTATATAGAACATTCATTTAAAATTGACATTTACCACATGCTATACGAACGAGTTTTATGTACACAGCGTAGTCACAAGTAAACAGACACCACCTTTTCAGAAAAAAATGAAAATTTTCAGTCATATTC